CTGTGCTTGGGGGACTGAATGCGTTGCAGGGGATTAAACAGGGGTCAGCAATATGCAAGGCAAGTACATCTCCTATTTCTACTATCTGATAGTATTATGAATATTGTCACTGTCACTGTTCCTGTCCTCCCGTGGTTCATCGATTTGCTCGAGCGGGCCCAGTAACATTGTGAGACTTGTTGTTACTGTGTTTGGCATATCGAATACGTCACGGGTAGCTTGCCAGGCTTTGCCGTGTGGGCAAGATACTCTTGGTAGCTTGCCAGGTGCTCTGAGAGGGGCGAAGGAATCGAACTTGGGCCGACTGGGTTGGCTGTGTGCAAAGCAAACGCTCTACTTTCTGTGCTATTGATCCAGCCCATGAGTATTGTACAAATAACAAGCACAAGGCAGAAATAGAAAAACTATACAAATACTGAGTTCACAAGGGGAAGAAGATAAAAACAAAAATCTGAGAAACACCTCTGGTGATAGGGGCCAGAAAGCTTTATAGTAGGTAAGGCGCTTACCTGGATTTGATCCCTAGCACCATATATGATCTCTCAAACCCTGTGAGGAGTGAGAGATCCCTGAACACAGACTCAGGATAAAGCCCATGAGCCAGTGTGGCCTTCCCCAAAGATAAAATTAAAAAAATAAAAAATGAAATAAAAAGTAGTAAACAATGGTGCCCATGAATAAAACACATTGCATGTACAGTGATAACACTAAAAATAAGGGTAAAAAGTCAAAACAAAACAATCCACCAAAACTGCTGAATTCTTATGTTTTATATTCAGGTTACTACTGCTGGCTACAAAAAGCAATCCTTTTAAAAATAAAGAGTTTGGGAAAGCAAAAGGTAGGAAGATCTAAACTAATTAAGAACAGGTTGGCTAACAACGGGCAGTGTCACGTGAACACTGAGATGGAGTGTAGCCATAAAAGCTTGGCACATCTCTACAATGTACCAAGTTGGGGATGTGTCTCTCCCCAGCTTCGTTATCTGTTAAAAAAGAACAAACAATTCACACGCGGCTACATTTATAGGTGCATGATATGTAGAGTGTCACTCCTTTCTCTTCAAATTGAACCAGGTTAAGTCAAACCAGAAAAGCGATTTGGGGAGGGAAAGAGAATAGCAGGGAGAAAGAAAGTTTTTAAAAAATCTCTGCCTCAGCAAAAGTTTTCATTAAAATTTTAGACAAATGATCCCTGTGTCCTTCTCCCTCGCTGCCTGGGGCTCCATGCTATTTCTATGCAAATAACAACCTCGTGGTTTATATCTTATTATTTCCACTGGAGCTGCAGCGACATGACCGGAGACGTGTAAGAGGTGTGTGTGTGTGTGTGTGTGTGCGTGTGTGTGTGTGTGTTAGGTGGGGGAAGGTAGAGATGGAGATGGAAAGGAGAGAAAGAGAAAGAGAGGGACAGAGGGAGAGAGATGGAGTGGGTGTTCACTCAAGTGTGAAAAAATATTGTCAGGAGTGAGCGTCAAGAACAAAAAAAAAATTGCAGGGATAACGTGTTTATTTCAGCCCTCCGCCCACCCCCCCTGACAAACCGGCACCTTTTAAAATTCATTGGGCATCAGGCGATCATGCACAATCCATCTGCTTTCACTTTATCATTTGCATTTCATGCCTCCTGGCTTTTGATGTGCTGATACTTTGATGCAGTCAGGAGACGCGCATTATCATTATTTCAATTTTCAAAGGGGTCAACGGGATCGGCACTTGCACACAGATTTTTTTTTCCCTACAACCTCTGCACAGCCCCTCCCTCCTTATTCTTCACCCCAGTGTTTAACATAAAGGATGAAGACTCAAAAAGGTGGGGGTCAAATGTGTACAGTCTAAAAGCTCGTGCATACTGCCCACATTTCCTCTCTACACAGGTACATACATATTATGAGCAAAATGGTCAAGACTTAAGGAGGCTCTATAGTGTTTCCAGACACACACAAAGACTTTCTCACACGTGGATACTCAGGAAAGCACGGAGAGAGGGGGAACTAGAAGCAAGATACAGACACAAAGGGACAGAGACTTGCACACACAGGGGAAGAGAAATGCACTCAAAGTGACCTGCAGTACACCCAGGGTACCAGGGTATGCAAGAGAGAGTGATTCCTATAGAACCATAGGAGAGCTGAAGACACACCAGCACACACAAAGACAGACCTGCAGAATGAGCTAGAGGAGGCAATCGGCGCCTTAGCTCCTGGATGGTTTCCTTTTCATTTGGGGCAGATAGGTGGTTTTTCCTTCCTTTTTTCCTTCCTTCCTTTTTTCCTTCCTTCTTTTTTTCCTCCCTCCCTCCCTCCCTAAATATTTAACAGAAGGCCACAGGTTTTATTTTCCTAAGAGATAGGACATTCATAATGAATTTGCATGCATTGGGTATCTTCCAGCAATTCTATACTGACGTGGCTCTGACATAAAGATAGTGAAGCAGTCAGAGTAGGACTAGTTAACTGCTATAACTGATCACTCCCTTCAGTTACATAAGTTCATGTCCTTCTGGAAATCAGTATTGTTTGATAAGTTCCAGCTGAAGCTTGACTGGTGTTTCCACTGCAACTGGACTGTTCCTTTAACAAGTTGCCCTTCAGGCTTGGAAGACGAATCAATTTGATCAGAGCAATTTAACCACATTTTAAGGAAAAGAAATCCCTAATGCAAGAATTTCTTTAAGACAAGAACAAAATTCAACTAGCAAATTTTTAGGCACAGAACAGAAAAGCCACAACAACACCTTTGCTCTGTAATACTCTATGTACGGCAGAGCCTGGCAAGCTCCCCGTGACGTACTCGATATGCCAAACACAGTAACAAGTCTCACAAGGCAGATGTTACTGGGCCCACTTGAGCAATGGGAGGACAGTGCTACAGTGCTACTCTATGTATAACAGAATATTAGGAAGAAAATAAGATGAATTTCAGAAATTAGCTTTTTGTCATAGAAACATTATGAGAATATATGGGTCTTTAAATTCTATCCTCAAAGATAATTTCCTTCAACATTCATCAATATCTCAAGGAGGTATAGAAGAGCAACTTTGAAAAATAAAAGTAAGACTCTAGGCAGTTTCTCCCACTCTAACAATCTCTTCTAGTAGTGCCAATGCAGAAGCAATTTCAAATAACTCAGAGCAGGACAGCCAAATTTGCCATTGTTAGCACTACCCTGACCTTCCCAGAAAAAAAGAAAAAAGGCAGATCCAAAGGATACAGAATTCCTCTAAATGCATAGAGCACACTGAGAGCAACAATTCTCCCAATTTCTGACCAACAGTAATCGGTGCAATGGAAGTCCCAACTTAAATGGGAACAATAGTCAATTGCTATCATTCCACTTTAAAGACAAAACTTGATTTTTAAAAAAGTTTCTACATGTTTAGTAAACAAAATATCCCGCAAAAACAAAATTTACCAAGAATGTTACTCCAAAAGCTCAAACAACCATGTAAGAGATAGGGGGAACAAAACCCCTGAAATTTAAATAAGGGTGCACACTTCATGCACCCAATATTAAGCACTTTTGCTTATATTTTCTTACCTCATCTTCAAAGCATCATTTATAGGTTTAAATTATTATCTCTCCTTTGACAGAAAAAGAAAGCTTTTTTTTTTGGCTTTGTTTGGGGGGAAGGGGGGGTCACACCTGGTGACGCACAGGGGTTATTCCTGGCTCTGCACTCAGGAATTACCCCTGGTGGTGCTCAGGGGACCATATGGGATGCTGGGATTGAACCTGGGTTGGCCGCATGCAAGACAAACGCCCTACCCACTGTGCTATTGCTCCAGCCCCTAGAAAAAGAAAGCTTTAGTTGTTGAGCGGTTTTAAGCCAAACAGTCCCAGATTATTATATTTTTTAGATTTTGGAGAGAAAATAGTTCCCTACAAATTCAGAGTACATTGTTCTTTGCATATTCTGGTACTCTTAATTTTCACTCTTAGAAGCAGTGATCCCACCAACTATTTCCCTCTCATTTGAAAAACTCTTAATGAGCTTGGATTGAAAAGGGCACACGCATTTCTTTTAAAGGGAAGATAAATCTTTGTATTACACACTCCCAGTAATCCAACCATGCATCCACTGACCCATTTTCCAATCAATATTTATCAAGAACTTCCTCTATGTAAAGAGGTCACTGTAAGTGGCCCGTTTTAGAGATGCAATCACATTTCTAAAAACATCAAAAATTTGGAGCTAGGGGCTGGAGCACACAGTGGGTAGGGTGTTTGCCTTGCACGTGGCCGACCCTAGTTTGATCCCCAGCATCCCATATGGTCCCCTAAGCACTGCCAGGGGTAATTCCTGAGCACAAAGCCAGGAGTTACCGCTGTGCATTGCCGGGTGTGACCCAAAAAAAAGCAAAAAAAAAAAAAAAAAAAAAATTGGAGCTGGAGCGATAGCATAGCGGGTAAGGCATTTGCTTTGCATGCGGGTGACCTGGGTTCAATTCCCAGCATCCCATATGGTCCCCTGAGCACCGCCAGGAGTAATTCCTGAGTGTAGAGCCAGGAGTAACCCCTGTGCATTGCTGGGTGTGTCCCAGAAAGCAAAAAACAAACAAATAAACAAACAAACAAAAAAGCTCCAAAAACAAAGAAAGCACAAAAATCTGACATCCCCCACACGTTTAGATATTTTAGACACAGCTAGCTGTTATAGACTAGAACTCCTCACATTCCAGAATCATAGACAACAAATGGGGAAACAGAAAAGAAACATGCAATTAATTCTATCTAGAACATAAACTTTTTGGATTAGTTTTTAAATATGGTTTCTTCACTGACCTATCCAGAGCTCAGAATGGTGCCTGGTACACAGAGGTACCAAAATTATTTGCTGAATGAAATGATTGAAAATGGTAAGCATGGCATTGGGCAGGGAAAAGGGAGGGACACAGGCAAACATGAGTTGAATGGTTCCCCCAACCAGGATCTTCAGTTAAGAAACCAGGATGCCTTCAAAACAGTTTCATGTATTTGTTCCAAACCATAAAACTTACTTTATTGAGAGCCCCAGCTCCTGTAAGAATTAAGTGAGAATTCTCAACCTGGATGGTTCTCTGTCCCAGTCGAACAAGGTAAGCCCCAATTCCAATGGCCCGGCATGTAACCTTGAAAGATAATAAATTTGACATGTTAAATATTTATGTTCCCTCACAAGCTATAAGAACTAAGTCTCAGGTATTTACATTCAAGGGGAAAAATTGCATTTATGAAGCCTTAGCAATAATAACACAATAATAATTTCCTTGTCAAAGAAATAAAGGCATGAAATCCACGCTAAGAATTCAGTTATTGGACACAAAGGATCCTTTACTTTTCTTATACATTTTGCCATTTCACAGATACCTGTGGTTTTATACTAGGAGTATGAGCAAGGAAAGCAGTAAGAGAAGAAATTCAAGTTGATAAAACTAGATACTTAAGGAAAAAAGAAGTTGGGTGGGGGGCATAGTGATAATACAGCTAGTAGGCATTTGTCTTGAATGTAGTGATTTGAGCTGAATCCCCAACATCCCATATGATCACCCAAGTCCACCAGGGGTAATTCCTGGGTGCAGAGCCAAGAGTAACACCTGCTATCACTGGGTATGGCCCAATCTGCCCACCCCCCACAAACCCAAAACCCCAAAACAAAACAATCTCAAAACCAACCCCTTCACCCTCCAAAAAGTTAAAGGCTAAAACTTGGTACTGGGAATGCTCAATTATTAACATTATCTTATCTTTCCATTACCATGCATGACTAAAATAAAATTATGGACATAATACAATTTTCAACTTGGCAGGCTACCGAATGTAACCTGCCCACACAGCAGAGTCTGGCAAACTCCCCGTGGCGTACCCAATATGCCAAATACCAATAACAATGATGGGTCTCATTCTCCTAACCCTGAAAGAGCCTTGAATATGGTACTTTTAAAATCTCAGGGCTAGGACGAAGGAGATGTTACTGGTGCCTGCCTGAGGCAATTGACGAACAACAGGGTGATCGTGATACAATTTTCAAGAAATGTTTATATTGAAACTACAAAGCACCGAAGAGAGGGAAGTACAAATCCTAGTCACACAGTTCATAAATTTCATATTCTTGCTGGGGCTGTAGCTCAGAGGTAGAGCACCTGCCTTGTATGTGTAAGGATCTGGGTTTAGTCCCTGGCATTACAAAGAAAAAAAACAAAGCACAACACACACACACACGCACACACACATATTCTGACAATATTTACCAAGCTGATAGTGATGATTTCATCATAGGCCAATGAGGATTCTCCAGCAATCATTCCAGAACCGCGAAGGTTCTCTGCTCCAAGTCCCTCTTCCTTTCCAATAATATCAGTTATCTTGTACCTAGTGAATGTAGTCATGCCAAATTAAAGACATTAAACACAAAAACAACTATTATATATTGGGGCAAGGGTTGAGTCATACTCAGCAATGCTCAGGAATCACTTCCTGTAAAGCTTGGGATACCATAAGGGATGCCGGTGATTGAACCCGGGTGGATGCAAGACAAAACAAAACAAATTACCTGCTATACTATTTCTCTGACCAGAAACAACAAAAGTTAAGGAACCATTAAAAATCTGCTCCATGCATCCTACAATCTTTATTTTATTTTCATTGAGTCTACTTTCCTTTCCTTGACACTGGCTGGGTATAGCAGGAAGAGTAAAATCTAAAAGTCAGATCAGTATAAATGGTGTTCTGTGATCAGGAAAATAGTACAGTGGATAAGGTGCTTGCCCTGCATCAGCTAACATGGATTTGATGCACAGTACCACATATGTTCCCCCAAGTACTGTCAGGATGCCTGAGCACAAAGAAAAGATTCTTGAGCACTTCTGGGTATGGCACATTCCCCCAAAATCTAAATCTGTGCTTTGAACATATAACAGTGTGAGTCTACGGGTAATAGTAATTTCTGTAAAACAGTGTGAGTCTAGGGATAATATTAATTTCTGTAAAATGGGGTTGATTAGTAGCTAATCTCTAAGTGCTGACATGACCACTAAATCATCAGGAGACAGCCAGAACCATAATTTATGCTCGATTTTTGATGTCCTATTTTCTAAAACAAATTTGTTAAAAAACTATGTCAATTTGTGTCTCCCTATAATAAGCAATAGCCATAAATCAACAATATTTGACAACTGCTACAGATGAATAAAACCCAATGCATTCTTGGCAACCTGGGTCCAACCCCAGTAACAGGTCTTGAGCAGTCCCTGACACCACTGGGTGTCACCCAAGAAAATCAAGAAAAAACAAAACAAAACAAAACAAAAAACCTAACAGGCAAAATAAGAATGTTCAGCCTAATTTCTTATGTCAAAAGTCCTATCCATGGTAGGGATAAAGGGGAAAGGTCAAAACAGTGCACTCCTACTCTTGCTTCTTTGTAAACATCAAAGGTATGGGTGAAGGCTCTTGTCTAGACAGTCCCTGGAAGATTCAGGGGGAAAGCGCGCAGCAGTGAAATGCTGGCCAGGTTCCCCAGAAAGCAACCCATGGCTCCAGGGTGAACCACTCATCTGTCTTCTGGGCAGGGGATTAGGAGTGATAGCTGATAATGGGAAATGGGAGATGGGGAATGCAACTAATAAAAGAAAGGAAAAATACAAAGATGGAAGTAGAGATGGGCATGTGTTATTTATGGGTTCATGTGTACCCAAAAGGCTTGGCATGAGGCACGGTTTTATATATGGGAACAATAAATAAATATCCCATAGTGACTCTTACACCTTCTTTTTGCCCCCTTTGCCTCCGTATTATCCTGCTACCTTCTTTACTTTCAGCCCTCATCAATTCTTTCTTTCTGCTTTTACTAATGGTCTGTGGCTTTGCTTGCTTCCCAAATTCCATTGCTTTTCTATTTTTAGCTTTTGCAAATAATTCCCCAAGTCTTCTTTTTGCTCTGTGTCTACATCCTAAATTCTAGAGTTATGTTTCAGGTAAAACTAATCTCACTTAAGGAGTTAATGAACAGCATTAATTTGGGTGGTGATGGGGTATGTGTTGTTCTTATAAGGTCCATGTGCCAAGTACACACAGATATTCAGTGGGTCCAATAAACCTTCCCTGCAGAGCAGATTTTTCTCTAAGAATAGTATATGGGGGAGGGGGTGGTACAGACAGTACAGTGGGTAAGGCGCATGCCTTGCATGTATCCTACATTGGTTTGAGTCCCAGCACCCCACATGGTACATCAAGTCTGCAAGGAATAGTTCCTAAGTGCAGGGTCAGGAGTAAGCCCTAAGTACCACTGGGTGTGGCCCCCAAACAAAAAAAAGGGGCTGGATAGATATCACAGTGGATAGGGATAGCACAGTGGGTAGGGCATTTGCCTTGCATACAGCCAGGTTCCCCAGGTTTGATTCCCAGCATCTCATATGGTCCCCAAGCACCACCAGGAGTAATTCCTGAGTGCAGAGCCAGGAGTAGCCCCTGTGCATCATCAGGTGTGACCCAAAAAGAAAAAAAAAACCCAAAACATATTGGGGGCTGGAGTCATAGTACAGTGGGTAGGGGGCTTGTCTTGCATGTGGCCAACCCATGTTCAATCCCTGGCAATACATATAGTCTCCCAGTCCCACCAGGAGTGATCTGTAAAAACAAAGCCAGGAAAAAGCCCTGAACACGCCCAGTGGGTGGTCCAAAAGCATAAAACAAACAAACAAACAAACAAACAAAAACACAGCATTTTTTTTGAGTCTGGAGAGATAGTACGTGGGTAGAACACTTGTCTTGCACATGTCCAACCTGGAACTCCATAGGGTCCTTTGAGCCCAGTCAGGAATAATCTCTGAGTGCAGAGCCAGGAGTAAGCCCTGAAAATTGCTGGGTATGCTCCCCCACACCTCCCTGCCCCGCGCCCCAAAAATAAGAATAGCATACTGGGCTGAAGAGAAACTTATTTTGCATGTGCTCAACTCCAGATTGATCTCTTGTATATGGTCCCAAGTAACACCAAATAACTTCTGAGCACAAAGCCAGAAGTAGCCCAGAGCAAAGATGATATGCCCCAAACCCAGTCCTTCATCCCCTACAAGTACCACCAAAAATAAATAAATAAAATAAACAAACAAAACCAAATACGTGTTTCTTCCTAGGTGTTTGTGATTTGTTAAGTGGCTTCTTCTACTATTGTATTATTAAAAAAAAGCGAAAAATTTCACAGTTCTGTTCATGACCTGCACCTTCTACCATTAGGACTACTATTCTTTAAAGGAGCTCAAGGTTTAACATAATTTATAATAAAAACCTTTGTATAGTGTCATACAATTAGCAAAACACATGCTTTAGCCTCTCAACAATCTAACATGACCAGAAAGATCTCCATTATTACTGCTTGGTATGTGCTCAGAGCTTTGCTAAGGACTTTAGATCTAATAGTTCACTTGATTTTCATCCTACAGGTGAGGAGGGCAAAGCTCAGAGAAGAAAATGATTTATGCTTTAACAAAAGTATATGCAAAATCAGTATCTTTCTAAAATACTGGTAATAGTTAAAAAATATAGTGGGGTGGGGGTGGGAGTGGGAATCTGTCTCGTTCAGAGTAAAAAGAAAAAAGAACTTGAATAACAAACTTGAAAGAATTTGTAAATTCCCACCATAGCCATATGATGTAATGTGGCATCCTAGGGTGCCACAGTGAACTTCCAAAGGCCCTGCAAGATATTTAAAATGTTTAAGAGGAACTCTTAATTTATGTGATTTCTGTTGAGTCCCATTTGAACCACTAGTTTTTACAGTTCATAGCTCAAGTGCTACACTTCTGGGCTGGAGAAATAGCTCAAAGGGACTTCATGGTCCCACAAGAATAGCAAAGAGTGAACACCACTGAGTGTGGCGTGCAAACAAAACACAAAATAAAAATTATTACATTCCTTTTGACAATGTCCTGTCTTTGCACAGCAGGTTTTGCAGTTTTTTTAAAAAAAAAAATTCTGCATAAAAACCAATAGAAAACAAGGGTGATAACATCGAAACTGATTTTGAGGCTCTTAGAGGTGCTCAGGAGTTACTTCTATCAGCAGCTCTCAAGGGGCCATATGCATGTAGTGCAGGAGAGGAACCTGGAGCTCCTGCATATAAAGACTGTGCTTAGCCCTTTGAGTTCTCTCTCTGGTATTAGGCAGTCCATTTGGTCCCCTGAGCCATACTAGGAGTGATCTCTGAGTGCAGAGCCAGGAATTATCGCCCCCCACAGCCCCAAAAAAGATAATTATAAATGTAAGGAAAATTGCTTTATGTTACTTATGTTAAAGTATATCATCGCGCAATGAATGATACTGGAACAATTAACATCCATGACCAGAGAACACAAACCTTGCATGAAGGAGACCCAGATTCAATTTCTGGCATCATGCAGTCAACAACAAACACTTAGACCACACCCCAAATTAAAAAAAACAAACAAAAATCCTAGATAATAATTTGTATATTAGAAAATGTTCAACTTCACTGGTAATCAAAAATACCAGCTGAAAAATAAAACCTACTATTTTTACCCTATTTTATTGTCAATAGTCAGTATTGGGTAGAGAGACAGTACAGGGGTTAAGGCTCTTGGCTTGCATGAAGCTGTCCCACGTTTGATTCCTAATACCACATATGACGCCCTGAGCACGGGACAAAAAGTAGCTCTTGAACACTGTCAGGTATTGCCCAACCCTACCCCTTGTAAGTAAAGATTCACTCAAGCATTTAAAACATTTATAAAACTTATAAAAATTTATATCTAAGAGTCTCCTTTCTTTTACCCAATGACAAATCCTTCTTCTATGTATATACCTACCTGGATTCCCCTTCATCTTCCACATGCTCACAATAGACAGAGTTGAGAGCACTGACTCTCTTATAATCTTGAGGGGTCAGGTACAGATACTTGTATCCCTGTGAAGCACAAACAGTTTTTAACTCATTATTTGCCACTGTCACAAAAGAAGCAGAGAGAGCAAAGCAGGCTCTGGGCAACTTGTTACAAAGCCAGCTTCAAATTGTCACATCACTTAAGAATTAGTGTTTAACAGAATACTAAAACAGATAGTTCTCCTTTGAAAGATGGACATGCCCATTTCTCCTGTCACTGACTATCCTTGAAACAAGATGTCTCATAGCTACAACTCCAGGTACACTAAATTTTTCTTCTTCTTCTTTTTTTTTTGTCTTTGGATCACATCTGGCAATGCTCAGGGGTTACTACTAGCTCTGCACTCAGGAATTATTCCTGGTAGGGCTTGGGGGACCATATGGGATGGCTGGAATAGAACCTGGGTCTCCGTGTGCAAGGCAAATGCCCAACCTGCTGTACTATCTCTGTAGCCTCCATTCATTTCATTTTCAGGGTTAAAGGGTGATTATCTAATCTTTAATGACACCTCTATTAAAGTTATAAATACAACATTAAACGATTAAGTGAATTACTACTTTTCACTTTCTCAAATGCACAGTATCTTCAGAATATAAATGGGCGTGGCATAGAAGAGCAAAAACTAGGATATTCAATATTAAAATCAGAAGTCTATGCAGTACTAATAATGATCAGTAACACTAAAGTTATACCTTTTGTTTTTTTAAAAAATTATACTAACAAATGAAAATGTGCAAATTCCAAATGATTTAGCAATACTATTGCCTAGCAACTATCCAAAAGCCATGAAGATGCTATTTTGTTTTTTAATTTTTTTTTCTTTTTGGGTCACGCCCGGCGATGCTCAGGGTTACTCCTGGCTTTGCACTCAGGAATCCTGGCAGTGCTCAGGGGACCATATGGGATGCTGGGAATCGAACCCGGGTTGGCTGCATGCAAGGCAAACACCCTGCCTGCTGTGGTATTGCTCCAGATCTAAATGATCACCGACAGATGAGTGGATAAAGAAACTCAATGAAATACTACTTCTGCTATTAAAAAAAAAGGATGAAATTGTATCTTCTGGGACAAAATGAATGGATCTTGAATTGATTGTACTAAATGATAAACGTAAAGAAGTGGAAGAAAATGACCCAATTACCAGGTAGTTTTACTCAAATGTGGTATATGTAGAACTAAAGCGAACGAATGGGCAAAAAGCACTAAAATGCTCTTCAAAACTCTGTGTAAAATATGGTGTTTATGGAGGGAGAAGTGGTGCAAAAGGAAGGACAAATAAATAGCAGTTTGTGTTTTTTTTGTGGTAGGATAATGGGTTTTAGACAGGACCTTTGATGGCGGGAGGGTATTAATCAAACACAAAAGAGGTGTGAAGCTAAGTTCTTGAAATTGCATATTATAAATAATTAAAAACAGATTTTAAGAATGCTAACATTTCATAATGGCCTTATTTTTATACATTTATATACACTCACATAAGCGAATTGGTGATTCAGTCAAAACACAAAGTAAGCAAACATTTAAAATACTGTGAGACTTCTGGGAATCCATCCCGAGGGTGCAAAAAAGCACAGTAGAAATGACATCTACACCTGTTTATTGCAGCACTGATCACAACAGCCAGACTCTGGAAACAACCCGAGTGCCGAGAAGAGACAACTGGTTAAAGAAACTTTGGTACATCAAAGAAGAGGGAGGAGAGGGGAGGAGAGGGCAAGCGAGAGAAAGGGAAAGAGGAAAGTAGAGAGCATGAATCTTTGTTCTCTCGTTGCCAGAGGGAAAATATCAATCATACAAGGAGGACTGTCCTTTGATAGGAGGAGAACCGTTCCTTCCAAGGACAGGAGGAGAGTCAGAGAACAGGGGCACAGTGCAGCTCTGTGGACGTCCCAAAAGCTCTCTTCTCGTTGCTTATGTTTCCCACGTGAAGTAGGAAGCAAGGGCCTCAGCTAAGAGGGAGGACGAATGAAAGAGGTTGTTAGAGGTTTGAGAAAAGAGGAGAAAGTGTGAAAATTGTCACTCAGGAGGTTGATAAGCTTGAATTTGAAGCTAGACCAGTCTACAACCGTGTTTCATCTATCAAGGCTCAGCTTTATAGAGCTGCAGGTACGGGAGCAGAGAGAGGGAAAGTTGAGCAATGTTTTCCTGAAGGCACACAGAAATGAAGAGAGAAGCAAAAAGGTGAAGGCATAGTAAAGATGGCAATTACAGTGATTAACCTACAACTGACCTTGGAATTAAACTAGATAGAAATGAAATGAGGAGGGGGAGAACAAGGAAAGAAAAAAGGAAAGATCGATAGCTGAAGGTCCTGGTGGGTTCAAGGATTACCTGATTCTGAGTACTAAAGACAGTAAGTTGGAAAGGTAACAAAAAAGAAATACTGGGGGGCGGGGGGAACGACGGAGATTGCAGGGAACAGCATGCTGAACTGGGGTGCAGGCAGGGCCCATCAGAGGAGAGAAGTCACAGATTCAAAGGCTGGACTGTGGGTCATCCATGAGGATATGGCAATCACTAAGAACAATAACAAGATTGAAGTGACAATGTGCTAACAATTAAAAACTGTAACGAAGGAGAGGGAGTGGCCAGAGCAAAGGGAACTCTGAGAGGAGGGGCAGTGCTGCAGCTCAGTCTGATGACAGGAGATGTAAACAGGGGAGGGTGAGGGTTCAGAGAGAAGGGAGATAAGCAGCAAACAGAGGCATGAGGTACAAAAAAGATATTATTTCCTCTCCAAGCTCGATGGTAAAGAAGAAAGTGGAAAATCAGTCACTGCTTTAAAGGTCTATAGGGGATGCAGTGCCTTTTAAGGACAGACAGACCGGCTTCAAGTAGAACAGGGAGGTTGGAGATTAATAAGAGAAGCCGAGAATATAAAGGATTTTGCTGATGATTGACCCTAAGTCCCAGCAGCCACAATGGAATGGTCTAAAGACATATAGTTTTGGCTTGGCATGTCTCACAATGTGTACCTACTATTCACTTAGTGTTTAAACAAAGCAACAACAATTTTATTTAGACATGGAGAAAAATTTGGTAAATAATAATTCCATTTCCCCTACCTTTCTCTTCCTCCCACCCGACATGCCAAACCATATACATATACACATCTGTACAGTATGTGTACACTTATTCTGTACTCTTTATTCTATACCTTGTAAGGATCCTCAGGATCTACCCAGGCCACATGAAACATATGACGAATTTCCTCAGCCAGTCCAATTCTTGCTCCGCTGTTGGCTGCTACATAGATACGTGGGATTCCCTCTGCCCTGGCAAGCTCAGAAGCTCTGAGAAACAGCAAATCCTCCTGGGGTCCAAAGGATCCAATTCGGTAGGTGATGTCATTGCCAATAACAATGATATCTCGGCCTTCTGGATATTCAGGACTTTTAAGGGTCATTTTCCAGGCTACCATGCCAATCTGCAAAGGCACAAGCAAAAAATGAGTATATACTTCTTGTAGGCAGGTTAATTTTTTCAGGTTAAAGTAATCAGCTTGTACCTAAATACAGTCATCATGTGAAGATACACATTGCTGCGTAGGGGAGACTAGAACAAACACTCTATCATCCTTCTCTAGACCAACAATTTCCAACTTTTATACACCTGTGCACTAGTTGGAAATCATTCCTCTAGAACAGTGTTTCTCAACCTTTCCCAACTGTGGCTCCCATCCAACCTTGTTTTCCTTGTTTCCTTCCTGTGGGCCCCAAGTTTTATTCCATTTACATGATTTTCACCAGTCCCCCCTGAAATATCCTGGGGGTGGACAGGAAACCAAATGACCCCCAGCTAAAACATTGCTCTGGATTATGTTGAGAACCACCGGTTTACTAAGCATTTTCATAGGTATCTCACTTTCTTCTTTGGGCCTCCCCAAAGGAGGAAATGATGGAAAAAAGAAAAATATAATCGGGGGCTGGAGCGATAGCACAGCGGGTAGGGCGTTTGCCTTGCACGCAGCCAACATGGCCGACCCGGGTTTGATTCCCAGCATCCCATATGGTCCCCCGAGCACCGCCAGGAGTAATTCCTGAGTGCATGAGCCAGGAGTAACCCCTGAGCATCGCCGGGTGTGACCCAAAAAGAAAAAAAATATATATATATATAAAATCAGGATGTATGTCAAAGAATGTCCTTCAATCCAGAATGAAATCTGGATTAAGAGAAATTGAATTAAATCTGAATCAAATCCAGAACTACCATTTTGTTACCTTGTCTACTGACACTATTTCCATCTTTTGTGAAATTCTTTCCAAGAAACCATCAATGCATGAGAGGAAAACAGGAGATCGTCTCCCCTGCAACTTTCATGATCCTGGGTAGTGGCTGTTTTCTCTTTCCTCTGGCCTTTGATAGGAATAATATCTGTACTCTTCATTGGCTTGCTTTAGGTTGCCTTCATTTCTACAAGAGTTTACTATAACTCAATAATGCAACTTGATGAGCATCTCGAAATACTGTTCCCCAGCACCAGAAAAAGCAGAGGATGCAAGAAACTAATCTCATGTGGCTCTATGATATATGTAAATCTTTGGTCTCTGTTCACAGCATCTGACCAGTCACACAAATAAATGATATTGACTTAAAAAGGCAAGGGTGACATGTCTCTTCCCAAACCCTCCATGGCCCTCTCCTCTTTTAATCTCCTTCTATATGAGAACAAGTCAATCCTTACACTTGCTTATTCTCTAGTTTCATTTCTTTTCTATTCACTCACACCTCAGTTACAGCTGCAGTTTTTCATGACTGCCTGTCTGTTTCCCTCAACCTGGATAAGTAATGTTTTCCATTCTTTTTTCCCTCCTGCTCTTTCTGTCTCTCCCCTGCAAACTCCCATCACTCGCCCCCAACACAAAGCCGACCAGATGAGCACTCCTGGTCCTGCCTAATGGAGCCCAGCCACATCTGCAGCCTTGGTCCTTCATCCCCAGGCTGCTGCATATCACCTCATTGGGGAGCAGGCCATCAAGAAGGGCCATTAACAGATGTAAATAGCCACATCCCTAGAAAGCCACATGCATCACCCAGACTCAACCGGGCCAGTGATCATAAGCTCTGAGTACACATTCTTCAATCCAATTGCACATCCACTGTAATCAGCCTGGTTGAAGCTTTCCACACAGCTATTTGTGATTCTCAGCATTAAGAAGGGGGAAAATAATATATATATATGTATATACATATATATGTGTATGTATAAATATCCAGATAAATGTAAGCTATTTAATACATCATACCATGGGTCCAATACAAATTAAAATGGATATAATACACAGAAAAATCCAATCACTTTTTAGATATGGTATCTGCTCATTAAGAGGAAGGGGGGGGATATTCAAAAAAATAGCAGAGAAACTTAAGAATCAAGATAATTTTGGTTATGATTTATAAGAAGCTAGCTAATACAGTACCTGAGTAGGGGAAAATAGTTTGCCTATCTCCTCATTTGGCCTCTACCCCAATGTCTCTTTTGTTTTTCAGGAAGGAAAAGCTATTTCCTCTAAATGCATTTGTAGTTAGGAAGATTAGGTTTTATATCAAATTTTATGATATATTAACCTTAGCCACCTAGGCAAGAAGCAGCTTAGAGACAAGCCCTGAAGAGTCTTCTTCGGCATTTGCATGCTAATGCAAACATTGTGTCTGTGTGGCACTGGGCAGGCAAATAATACTCTTATCTTCTGTTATTACCTGGGGATTCTGTGTCACTTGGGCAGTCAGTTCAGCAATTGGTCAGGTCATTATGCTTGCAATATTGACTTCTAATTAGGTGTCAACACTGAAGCACCAAGAACAAGCTACTCTTTATCAATGTCTTTCAAAGTGTGTTTCTCATCAACTACCCCCCCCCCCGCCCTCCACCCCCATCCTTAAAAAATACTTTTATAAGTTAAGAGCCAGAACGATGGTTCAAAGGGTTGGAACACTTGCTCTGCAGTTGGGGGGCTAAGGTTTGGTCCCTGACACTCCATGGTCCCCCCCTTAGCACTGCATGTCCAGAAGCACCCCAGCACTAGTGAGTATACCCCTTCCCTGTCTCTCCTCCACCCCAAAAATTACAGAATGGAGTACAATAATCCCAATCTTAATATGGCAAGACACCTTACTGGAAGAAATTAAGTTTTGAGTGAGTACAATGGATAAACATCTAAGAATGCATTTACTGCCCATGTTATACTTCTTTTACACAAGGGCCACTAGATGTACCTAAACAATATGGAAATAGGAACATAAATTATAACACACCATTTTGTTATAAATTCAACATGGGATCCTAAAATATAAAAACATTAGTAGAAAAAATGTGAAACCCGAAACAATGTATATCTGACTTAATACCATTATACAATATTAATTTCAAAGTGCTGATAGTTATACCACAGCTCTATAAGATGTTTACATTAAAGGAAGTAGGTGAAGGGCAGGCATGAGGGAACTATATTTTTTATATTTTTGGTTTGCTAGCCAAAACCAGTGATGCTCAGGGGTTGCCTCTGATGAGGGCTCAAGGGACTATGAGATGCCAGAGATTTAACCCAGAATGCCTACATGGAAAGTATGTGCTCAGACCTTTGGGCTGTTTCTCTAGCCTCTATATGGTATTTCCACAACAGCCCTATAAATCTAAAATTAAACTGGCTACCGAGGTCATTGTTAACATTTTGTACAAACTTATAAAATAATAGCTATTAAGATTATGCACAGCGTTTAAAAATGCACATCAGGTTGAGATATAGCTTGGGGGTAGGGCACTTGTCAATACAGGTTGGCCACATGCAAGGCAAGTCCCCTACCCACTGTACTGTCATTCCAAGCTCCATTCCAAACAGAACATATTTATAATAAAATTAGAAGCATAAATATATAAAACTTAAACATCAAGTCAACCCTCACCCCCAAAAAAACTATCAAAAACTGTCACTGAGGCTATCACTTCCTTTTTCAAAAAAATATGCTCCGTGATGATGTGGTAGAGTGTAAACATATGTATATATATAGGTTTATACAATATTAATATCTCTACCTGAGAAGTAACTGCTTCAGTGTTTTTCTGGTCTGATGGCTAAATACATATTTATACTTTTAAAGTCAATATTTGTACAATAGACAAGAACAGTGCCTATCAGCTAAATACATATTTAGGACTGTACCACATGTATTACAAACATGTACTAAAATCGAAAGCTTATATTTATACAGAGCCTTTCATCTTGAAGGGGGCTAAAGAGCTTTACAAACATATGTACACAGAAGGACGTCCGCGCTGATAGGGAGGCACCGTGTCCATTCACCCGCTCCCCTGTCTCTTGCAGCCGCCCCTGGCAGGAACACATGGTGTCACCAGATGCAGATCTGAACAGCTGCAGAGACAGGGAATGCAATGCTCTAAGTGGCGATGCACAGGGCTGGAAGGAGGCTTGCAACATGATCAGTAGTAGCCGCTCTCTTCGGTGTGCAGGCACCACGGCCATTTCCAGCTTTCTATTTTTAAATTATTCTCTACCAAACTCAACTAATCACTTGACAAAATTGAATTTGATACTGGAAATGGTTTCTGAATGCAAAATACTTTCTGATGATGAGAACTAGGTTGAAAAATGCTGCTTCCCCCTGCCCTTGTTAGATTTAACAGAGAGAGAGAGAGAGAGAGAGAGAGAGAGAGAGAGAGAGAGAGAGAGAGAAAGAGAGAAAGGGGGTCACAACATTTCAGGAGAAATGGTTCAAAATATTCTATCTAAGAATAGCTGTGTCTCAGAGGATTGGGTCATTACTTCAGAAGACAGTCATATTTCCCCCCATTTAATTAGGACACTGTAAATTTCGCAGTCAAATTACTTTCTATGGCTGGGTCTATCTATATCACACACAAAATGGAGATTTTTTTATATTAAAGATTCTGCAACACTATAAAATCAAACACAAGTATGACAATGTGATTAGGAGTGCAATATTCACTGATGTCACCTAAGTCCATGTTGCCTTGTATATTAACTGAAAAACAATAAGCACTGAGGAATCCCATCACTGAATCCTCTGGTTTTCACGTCTCTCTGCAGCCAATGTTTTGATGCAGATGAAACCTGGTAAAAGTGACACTGGAGACCTAAGAAGGGCTGTAGGGCTGAGGAAACATCAGAAAAGCAATAGGTTCCCTGGAAGGGACCTGTGAGAGTGAGCGTGTCTAATGGGTCTCAGATTACTCAGGCTCTTTGACTCTGGCAGCATCACAAACTTCTCTCCTGACCTCCATGTCCCTGAAAGACTGTCTAACCAAGTAGTCAGGCATTTGGTCTAGGACAATTATGTTTTCATTAATGTCAACATAAATAATTTTTTTAAATGCTTAAGTTCATTTTTGATTAAGGTAAAAAGGGGAGGAGGACAGAAAGAGTTACTGTGAAAAAACTAAGGTTAAAA